AGGCTTCCGGGTGAAACCTTACCTCAAAAAAGCTGAAACAGGGCTGAAGAGATGGCTCAGAGGTAAAGAGCACTGACTATTCTTCCAGAGGTCCTGAGTTCAATTCCCAGCAACCACATGGTGGCTCACAACCATCTGTAATGAGATCTGGTTCCCTCTTCTGGCCTGTAGACATACATGTAGGCAGAATACTGTTTATATAATAAATAAATAAATAAATCTTAAAAAAAAAGCTGAAACATAGAAAATAGTAAGTATATTTTCTAGATAATTTTAGATTGCAAATTCTTCCTGTACCACTCAAATTGTTGCTATTTAGATTGAATATCATGTAGCCCAAATTGGCCTCAAACTCCCACTGTAGCTGAGGACAAGTTTGAACTTTTTGATCCTCCTGCCTCCAACTCCCCAGTGCAGGTATAAAAAACTGTGGTCACCATGCCAACCTGGAAAAAAATGGCTGTACCCCTTGAAGGGACACTGGCCCACTGGAGCATGTGGCTCTGGCAGGTCCTGCCCTTCTCCCCATTCCCCCAGCCTTGCTGAAAGCATTACATTCCCAAAGCGAGCCACCAATGCTGTGGGATGTTCTGTATGACAAATGTGTTGCTGATTAGTCAATAAATAAAACACTGATTGCCGGGCGGTGGTGGCGCACGCCTTTAATCCCAGCACTTGGGAGGCAGAGCCAGGCGGATCTCTGTGAGTTCAAGGCCAGCCTGGGCTACCAAGTGAGTCCCAGGAAAGGCGCAAAGCTACACAGAGAAACCCTGTCTCGAAAAACCAAAAAAAAAAAAAAAAAACACTGATTGGCCAGTGGCTAGGCAGGAAGTGTAGGCGGGACAAGGAGGAGAATAAAGCTGGGAAGTGAAAGGCTGAGTCAGAGAGACACTGCCAGCCGCCACGATGACAAACAGCATGTGAAGATGCCGGTAAGCCACGAGCCATGTGGCAAGGTATAGATTAATGGAAATGGATTAATTTAAGCTGTAAGAACAGTTAGCAAGAAGCCTGCCACGGCCATACAGTTTGTAACCAATATAAGTCTCTGTGTTTACTTGGTCGGGTCTGAGTGGCTGTGGGACTGGCAGGTGAGAGAGATTTGTCCTGACTGTGGGCCAGGCAGGAAAACTCTAGCTACACACCAAGGTCTATTCCCTTATTTGGTCATTTCTTCCTCCTGAGGCTGACCACCAAAGTCCAGCAATCAGAAGCCCTTTTGGTTCACCTAATTTACATGCCAATTAAAATTAAACACCTCATCCTACCACGAGGTTTCCCCCTTTACCTTTATAAACCGCCGTTTGCCTATGTGCCACGACTGTCTCCTCTCTATGCAGAGGCAGTCCCTTGTAGCCCTGGGACAAATACCCCTGCTTCCTTTCCCTTGTCCTCTTCCCCATCTCCCTCATCCCCTGTCTCCTTTACCACCACATTCTAGCCCGTTCTAACACAGACCTCCCCTTTCTCTCTCCTTAAAATGACACCTGCACCAGGCAGTGGTGGTGCACACCTTTAATCCCAGCATTTGGGAGGTGGAGGCAGGTGGAGCTCCTTGAGTTTGAGGCCAACCTGGTCTACAGAGTGAGTTCCAGGACAGACTCCAAAGCTACAGAGAAGCCCTGTCTCGAAAAACAAAACAAACAACAACAACACCACCCTTTCAGGTCATTTGCTGCTGTTTTTCTGCCTGGAGTCAGAAAGCAGCCACTTTAGCTTTCTTCCCCACTTAATAAAGGCTCTCCCTGTGAAAACAGGTGTTTGGGTGTGGTTTATGCCTAATCTGGGGTCTGGAAGGGAGCCCCCACTGTGCGGGAATCTCCTTCACTCCTAATTCTCAGTCCTTTCATAGAAACATTGCTGAAGTCATCATAGGAAATGAGAACACAGAAGACAAAGCCTGCGTGCTAGGAAACTAACTCTGAGAGGAATCTGATCTGAGCATGGCTTTGTAATTTCCTGAAAGTTAAAAGAACATGATCCACATGAAAGAGAGGAATGGCCACCTCCAACTTCCTGTGGGTTGTTGGAGCACTCTTTTGCTGTCCTTGGTATTAGGGTTTGAACACACAGTACTCTATGCCTCATCTGCCTCCTGAGTGCTGGGATTAAAAGTGTGGGCCACCACGCCCAGTACGACTGAAACTTTTTAAATATCAAATCTAGACTAGGAAAAGACAGCAATTTTTTTTTTAACTTTTTAAAACTTTATGTTTCTTTGTATGGGCGTTTTATCTGCACATGTGCCCGTGTGTACCACACCTGTGCCTGTATCCATAGAGGTCAGAAAAGTGAGTGCATCAGATCTACTGAGACTGGAGTAGCAGCAGACAGTTGTGAGCCACAGTGTGAATGCTGGGAACCAAACTCAGCTAGTCCTCTAAACTGCTGAACCATCTCGTCATCTCCCCGTCTCATATTTTCTTTTTTTTTTTTTTTAAATGTCATAGAAAGTTCTGAGACCACCTTGCTGAGAGGTTACAGCCTTCAACAGCTATCATCTGGTGCTAATAAACAGTGGGCCTCACGGTCTCCAGTGCAGGCATCTCCTGTTGAACCTCCTTGACCAGCACACTACGTAGGGCAGCCCTGCGCAGTCTGGAGCCGACACACACGGAAGGCAGAGGCTGAGAGACACAAGTCCCTTTCCCAGGACCTGTCCCATTAAGAGAAAGTCACCAGACCTGTCTGGTGGAAAGAAACCAGGTCACCTCCAGAGCTGAAGGGAGCTGCCTGCCCTAGCCCAGAGTCTCTGTGGCTTGGGAACCCTGAAACCCCACACATCACCAGGAAATGAGAAAAGAGAGGACCAGGAAAGCCCAAAGAGGTCCTGCAGCTTCCCTGAGGAGTTAAGAGCTGTAACAAGAGCCGAGTACCACAGGTGTGGCCAAACTTGGACTCTGGAGAACCCAGGGAGTCTGGGCTAAGCTCGCTGAACTTTCCCAGAAAGAGACCTCTTGCTCCCAAGCTAGCTTTCTTCTTTTCTTTCTGATTTTATGTTTTGCCATGGGAAGTTTCAGGTCCCCTGAAACTGGAGTTACAAACAGTTATGAGCTGCCGTGTGGGTGCTGGGAGTTGAACGAGGGTCCTCTGGAAGAGCAGCCAGTGCTCTTAGCTGCTGAGCCATCTCTCCAGCCCCAAGCCAGCTTTCTTAGGTGGCCCAAAGAGCACCCAGGTCAACTTTGACAGTGACTGGGCCTGATGCTTATTCTGCTTTGGGGTGAATAACTGGATAAATCCCAGATGAACTGATACTGGCTGGAAGACTCAATCACTAACATTTCAAAGGTCCCCTCCCCTCTTTTTTCCCCTTGGTTTCCTTCAGCTGGGGACTGAGCCCAGATCCTTGGACATTTGATAAGCTGAGCCAAACACCAGCTCCTGGAAGGATTAATGTTTATTGAGCATGTACCATCCACTACTCTAGTGCACACCTTTTTTTCTTTTTTTATTTTGAGACAGGGTTTCACTATATATCCCTGCTGGCCTGGAACTTCCTGTGTAGCCCAGGCTAGCCTCTAACTCTCAGAGATCTCCTTGCTCCTGCCGCCCAAATGGGAGTAAATGCTTGAGGTACCATGCCCTGCCTAGAATCGGACTTTTTATTTATGTAGTTTTGTTTTTTTAGATAGGTTCTCACTATGTAGCCTTGGATGGTCTGGGTCTGGAGCTGGCTCTATTGACCAGGCTGACCTGGAACTCTGCCTCACAGAGCTCGGATTAAAGGCATGGCCCACCGTGCCCTACCTAGGAAGGAACTTCTTAAATTCCCACTCCTAATCGTTTTCAAAGGAGGACACAAACATTAAGAGCCTCAAGCGAGGCAGCGGAAGCCTTACACCCAAGCAGGGCCCCTGCTTTTCACTTTGCTTAACTCAAGAGCCGTTAGCGATACAGAGAGGAAACTGAGGCGCAGAGAGGCAAAGCCAACCAGGGACATAACCTAAGCCTGCTGGCGACCAGCGCTGGTTTGCCTCTGATGCTCCGAGAGGAGCGTCTTGGCCTTTTTCCAGCCGATTCAGCCGCGGGCTCGGCCCAGACACCGCCAGGTGAGCCGATGACTCAAAGGGCGGAGACTAAATTTCGCGCACGGCCCCGCCCTGTCCCGTTGCTCCCGGGGGTGGGGGACGAGCTCCGGAATCGGGCGGGTGACAACTTGTCGGAGCGAAACCGGGAAGGCGCCGCCCCGCTGCGCTCCACGGGCCGCGGGGACGCAGCTTCGTCTTTCCGCGAGGGGTCGCCGGGCCGGCGGGGCGGGAGGCGGGAGTACTGGCCGTTCGCTCTCCCATTGGCCAATCGGGTTCCGGGGGCGGACCCTGTGGAGACCCCGTCCTGTGATTGGGCCGTAGACTGAAGGCCGCCGAGCGGGCTGGTGCGTGTCGCTTCCTGCTAGGTGTGCCGGCCGTGGGCTAGTCCAGCCCGACTCCCCGCCGCCCTTCCCACCCTGCTCGCTCCGGCTTCTCGCCAGCGGCTTTCCTTTTGTCCCCACCTAGAATCGCCGAGCCTTGGAGAGCTTTCCCTTATTAGATCTGGGTTTTTAGTGGAGGCGCCATGCCCCTGCCTCCCTCGGATCGTGCACCCCTCGGCTCAGGTCTGAGCACTTGATGTGACCGCTCCCCCGCTTTCAGATCTGAAGTGCTCAGTGCCACTCGTGAAGCGCGTCTCTAGGGCCACTGTGCTGTCTTCAGGGGCTTCGTGGCTCCCGCCACATCTGGGCTTTGCGGCTTTCCCGCCCACGGCACCTCTCCTCGCCTGATCTGCCTTTGTGCTCACCTGGTCTGAACCAGTGCGCTGTGGGGGCTTCCGATGGCCTCTCACCTGAAGTCACCCGACCCAGACCCGGGGGAACTTGAGGCCCTAACTCGATGTTCTAGAGTCAGGTTCTCTTAACTCCCTTCAATTCCCCTCCCAGCCCATGACCAATAACTGGAGAAGACGGGAGTGTCACAGGGCAACTTTATTGAGAGGAAACATGGTCACACCCAGCAAACATGTGTTCCTTCTCATTCTCTCTCTCACACACACACACACACACACTCTCACACACACACTCACACACACACACACACTCACAGCCCTTGCCACAGTCCAGTTCTCAGCCACAGTGGTGGGAGCCTCCTCGATTCCTAGGCTCTAGAAGCAACAGGTACAGAAGGAGGCACAGGGCAGAGGACAGGTTCAGGAGCAGTGTAAGGAAGTTGGGGTGCAGAGAGCGGGGGTGGGCAGTGTTAGGAACACCCACCAGACAGCTGCATGAAGAGTGGGGTCTCCAGCCCCTGTCAGCCTGGCTGCACCCCTTCCAGGGAGCGTTTCAGGGTGTGGCAGAACATTCAGGGTTTGGGAAGGGCCCGATCTCACTCCCTGTTAGTCCTCTCTGCAGACTGGGGACCGGAGGGCAAGGCAGGGCGGGGAGGGAGCAGACTGCTTCAGCTCTGGGGCTCCTCTGGAGCCTCTCCACCCTCTTCCCCAGCACTGTCGGCTGTCCACAGCGTCAGGTTGTCTCTCAGCAGCTGCATAATGAGGGTGCTGTCCTTGTAGGAGTCCTCGTTGAGAGTGTGCAGATCAGCCATGGCCTCGTCGAAGGTGGTCTTGGCCAGTGAGATGGCCTCCTCGGGGCTGTTGGCTATCTCGTAGTGGAAGACAGAAAAGTTCAGGGCCAGGCCCAGGCGGATGGGGTTGGTGGGCGGCATCTCCTTCTTGCTGATGTCCATGGCCTCTTGGTAGGCCGACCGGGCAGAATCGATGATGCGCTTCTTGTCATCGCCGGTGGCCACCTCGGCCAGATAGCGGTAGTAGTCACCCTTCATCTTCAGGTAGAAGACGCGGCTCTCTGCCTCTCCAGCCTCCTTGATGAGGTGGGAGTCCAGCAGGCCCAGCACGGTGTCGCACACACCTCGGAGCTCTGTCTCTACCTTCTCCCGGTACTCTTTCACCTCGGGGCCTTTCTCTTCCGACCCCTCCTCATTGCTCTTCTGTTCGATGCTGGACAGGACCCTCCAGGCCGCTCTCTGGCCGCCCACCACATTCTTATAGGCCACGGAGAGCAGATTTCGCTCCTCGCAGGAGAGTTCCTCACCCTTTTCCACGGCACCCTTCATGAAGGCCGCCATGTCCTCATAGCGTTCCGCCTGTTCTGCCAACTTGGCCTTCTGGATCAGACTGGCTCTCTCCATGACTCCGGGGACAGACAGGAAGGTGAATTGGCTGCCTTGAGACCAATGCTGGATTCTGTGCCTCTCTTGCTCTGGGTCTGCCTTTTGGCTTGGGTGGCACGGCCTGGAGAGGGGTTGGGAGTGGCCTGGGCGGGCCTGGGCCCTGCCTCCTCCTCTTCTCCACACCCTTTCCGGCTCTTCCTTAAAGGTAAAAGGGCTGGGATGTGATGGGGTGAGTCATCAGGACAGTCAGCAGGAGAAACCTGGCCATGGGTCCCACCTGAACAGGCATCCTTCAGGCTTCCAGACTGCCCCCTGCTGTTCAGAGCAGAGTTGCAGGAACATTCTAGATCACCGAATCAGATTGTCTTTCAGGGGGTCCTTCCAGGCATAAGGATGGCTTCAGCCACTGGGCTTCTTTAGCCTGGGCAGAGCCCAATGAGCTGGTACAGAGGGCTGGGATGGTTCCGGTGAGAATTCATGTGTAGGCAGGACTATACAGTTTCCCAAACACTTTAGCAGCCATGATCTGATATAATCCCCTTGATGGCTCTGTAGGACTGCAGAGGTAGAAACATCAAGTCTCAAGAGGAGAAACTGCTTTTAGGGTCACAAGCTGCCAGCTCCCTGTTTCTTCTGACTTTTCTCCCATTGAGGCCTCTGGCCTGGGAGCCATTATCTGGAATCAAGAGCTAGACTTCTTCCTGAGTCTGCCCAAAGATGGTTCCATCCCTTGGTCCTTGTTCTCCTTCGAGGTCCCCTCTGAACACCCGGAATGCGCAGGTGGCATTTCAGGGTGCCACTTAATGGAGTGTTTAACGAGTGGCCTCTGAAGCTTCAGCCCAGCCTTGGTAATTAGTCACCCAGTCGGTCTGTTGGACACCTTCCCCATTACAGCACAATTTTCCCTTTCAAGTTGGTGGCCTGTTGACACTTGTCTGAGACCTTACTCTCCGGTTCCCCACGTCAGGTCACCTGTCCCTCCCGAGCCGCCTGCCGTCATGTATGAGCAAGGCTCACAGAGGGCGGGGGCATAGTTCTCTGACTGTCCCACTCTTGCCTGACTCAGACTGCCCTGTCAGAGGCTGGGAAGCAGGCCATGGGGTGCTCAGTCCAGTTTGGTCCCCCAGGGGGGACGCTAGCAACCCGGGGAGGAAGACAGGTCTGAGAAGGAGCCAGTGATGACACACACCATTCTGTTTTATGGGGCAGCAATTCCAGCTCAGGGCGATACCCCACTTGACTCCCAGAGGTTCCAGTCCCCTCTCATCGATCAAAGCCCCGCCTCCAACTGGAGAGAAGCCTCCTCAGAGATGGAGACCACTTTGTTCCTAACTTCGGTCCTTGTTTGGTTGGGCCCTGTCTTCAAGCCTTATCAAGAGTATGGGGGGCTGGAGAGATGGCTCAGTGGATAAGAGCACTGATTGTTCTTCCAGAGGTCCTGAGTTCAATCCCCAGCAACCACATGGTGGCTCACAACCATCTATAATGAGATCTGGTGTCCTCGTCTGGCATGTAGACATACATGCAGGCAGAACGCTGTATACATAATAAAAAAAAAAAAAAAAAAAAGAGTATGGGTACTGAGGATAGGGTAGGTTCCTGCTTATCTGCCTCACCCCCCAAGCTTAGACGGGACTCCGGGGTCCCTTCTAAGGAACCTTCTCCCTGGGACCCAGCCAATCTAATCCTTGAACCAGGACTGTTGCATAGCCTTGCCTGTCTTCTCCCCCGCCCCGCGCCTGATCACGCGCCTTGCCTCTGGGAGGGAGGCGTAGGCCTTAGGACACGATGGTGTGTGCATGTGTACCACAAGAGTAGAGACTCTTCAGATCCTGGCTAACTCTCCGGGGTTTCCCAGGAAGCGGATGGGATTTCCCTCCTGAGATCCCGAGGGCTGTGCCTAACTGGGAGCACAGACACAGGAAGGGATGGAATGAAATCACACTAAAACGTCACATTAGGGAAGGCCGTGGCAGTGCAGACCTCGAATCTCAGCACTCAGGCTGACTGACATGGGACACGTTCCAGTTGGTGGCCAGCTTGGCTACAAAGAGACTCGCTGCCCCGCTTCCAACCTCCAGAAAAAAAAAAAGGTTGGGGATGTAGCTCCGTGGGTAGAGTTCCTGCCTAGATGTCTGGAGATGGATCCCCAGTATAGGGGATCTGCAGAGACTGTTGCACATCTGTAATTCCAACACTCACGAGGCAGAAGCAGAGGCAGGAGGATCTCAAGTTCGAGGCCGGTCTGGTCTACATACGGAAAAACTGTCAGCTAAACTACATCCTCAGCTCCCATCCCTGTCTTTCTGTTCTAGCTGGGTTCTCTGGAATGAGGAAAGATCACAAACTATCTACACCGTGTGGCCCAGCCAGGGAGAGAAGGGGTCCTTTGCCCAGACTTCCCTCTCCAGACTGACAAACTGTTAGGTGCGATCAGCACTGACTCCTCCCTTTCCTTCTGGAACATTCCTCGAAGCGCTCAAGGGCTTTCCTTGGCACTAGTCATCTAGCCTGGGCTTCCCCAAGTCCTGGGGGGCAACTTGGAGATCCCAGGACACTAAAAGCTTGGACCTCGGGGCCCGGCAAAATTGCAAGTCCAAGAAGGGAGTGTTCTCCCACGCCTCTTAAGCCAGGAACGTGGTGGGTGTCTAAAGCCAGATTCTAGACCCTCAGCAAGCCTCTCCCTCCTCCTCCTCCATTGAAGCCAGGCTGCTCGACACTCCTGCCGGCTCTGACCTGTAGATCCTGACTCAGTTCCTGTCTCAGTTGCCACCCTTTGCCTCCAGGCTTCCACTTCCCAAGTCCAGAAGCCCAGGCAGGCAGGAGGCTGCAGGTCCTGGCAGAGCATGGGACTCTGCCTGAGTCAGCAGGACGGGAGACGGGGCTACAATACAGTCCAGGGGGCTCTCCTCATCCTGGTGGCCCCTGGCCACCTTTCTGGAGTGGCTGGCAGCAAAAGGGATTCTTATTAGAGTCTAGAAAGAATCTACCACAACTGGCAAAACCATTTCTTTTCTAGTAATTTCTTAGGTCATTTCTCGCTTTGGAATGATCAAATTCAGCAGCTGACCAGAGGTCCTTGTGGTTGGTTTTAAGAATAGTTATGGAGCTGAGAGCTGAATACTCGCAGCCTCTGGAAAGGGACAATGGAGGACGCTTAGGTGATTCAGCTGTTTGCCTATTTTTCTTCTCAAGTATTGCTATTCGAGGTAGCCCCCCTCTGCTAAACCAGTCCAGGGTATGAGACAGTGTGGAATTTATAGAAACAGGCCCGAATGAAGTCAGCATGTAGAACTGCATTCCAGCTGGGTCATAAGAGGCCTTGGGCAGGTCCCTTCCTGCCCATCCTGGGGTAAGGCCTCCCCACCAGTAACAGGAGGCTGGCAGCCCCGTCCTGGGTATGGCATTCTCCAAGTTTAGGGCTTCTTCAACCGCCCTCCCTCTTCCTGCGTGATAATGCAGCTCTGTTGGCTAGTTGACCTTCCCTGAGCCTCAGCTCTCTCATTTGTAAGAAAGCTGAGATCACCTGTCTCTTTGGTTATGGGGAGAAAAACAGCCTAATACTTAGCAAGTCCTGATAAATGGTAGCAGCAATACCGTCCGCCTGGGCTTTTTTTTAAAAAATATTATTATTTGTATTTTATGTACACGGGTGTTTTGCCTACATGTATGTCTGTGAGGGTGTCAGATCCCCTGGAACTGGAGTTACAGATGGTTGTGAACTGCCATGTGGTTGCTGGGAATTGAACCCGGGTCCTCTGGAAGAGCCGTCAGTACTCTTAACCACTGAGCCATCTCTCCAGCCCGGCAATTCCCTTTTATGTTTACTTACCGTGTGTTTGTGTGTCCATGTGGAAAGCACCTGGAGAATGGGAAGGAGACTCTATGGACTACCTTGGGTTGGGTTCAACTGGGGAATGTGAGCTTGAGATTGGAGTTTGACGCCCCCCCACTCCCCCCTCGTTTTGGACGAGGCACCGTTTTTCAAAGTTCAGAGTTCAGCTAAGCCTTGAAGGTCTCTTGGGAGGAAATGAGTTCTGGAGAGCCAAGAGGTCACTTCCCCATGTCCCTCCTGGCCTCTGTCTCCAGAGCAGCACTGCCCAGCCAGAGCTGGGCTGGAAGGGAGGCAAACAGGTGTTCTCACACATCCACAGCAGGCCCCACCCACGGCCCCAAAGGAAAGTGGTACAAGACACTCACTCGAGGCTATGGCAAGAAGAGGGGAGGTCTTTATTTCTGTTACAAAAGGTAGTGGTGGACAGCGGGTGAGCAGCCCCCATGCTGGGCACAGCTAATCTCCCCAGGTCTGGCCCGTTTCCCTTTGGGTCCTTGGAAGAACATGGAGCTGTGTAGCCCTTGGTGCCCGGGGCCAAGGATACAGGCTCACACTTCACATCCTCCTAGGGGGATGGGGGCGTGGGAACAGTGTTGAGCCGTTGTGCTCAGAACAGTCGCCAAACTTGTTCAGCAGCGTCGGGACACCCAGATAGCTCCTGAAGAAACCTGCTTGGCTTGCCTATGGCCCTGCTGACTTTGGGGGGAGGCTGTAAGGCAAGATTCCTGAAGAGTCTTGACACTTCACAGATCCGGGGAAGGGGCATGGCGGGAGGAGGGGAGGGTCAGGTTCAGCAGTGGTACAGTATTGTATATTGTGAGGCTGCAGTATGGCTTTCTACACTCGGGCCGGCAAGGAGTGGGGGTGGGGGCCAAGAGGTCAGCACCTGCCCACTGTGGGGGGCTCCAGAGAGCACACAAGTAGGGCAGGCTGGGGGACAGACCCTGTAGGCACAGATGGTGGCAGATGGGCCACAGGTTAGGCAGGTGAAGGTACAGGGTGCCCGGCTCCCCCCAGGCCACTCCTGAAGAGGCAGAGAACGGCGGTCCTCAGGAGCTCCTTCAGCCCCCGAACATACTGGACGATCCCACAGGATGGCAGGGAAGGAGGAGAGAGAGGGTTAGCGGATGGATGGATGGGAAGAGGTAGCCTGCGGGGGCCCCAGCGGGGTCAAAGGCTACCACAGTAGCTGCCCCTCTCCCAGAAAAGGGCCAAAGCGCAGGCGGCAGGTAATGAACAGAGCAGGAGAGAACCAGGCAGGCAGGAGAGCTTGGCAGGGACACAGAGCAGGATGCAGAGTGCTAGTGACCTGACTGAGGGCCCTGCACACCACGACACTACCAGCACAGGCCCAGGCCCCTCAGAGCATGTGTGCCACCCTCCCCGGCCTCATCCTTCCTCTTCTGAAAGGACGGATGCTCCCGTCCAAGGAGGGATGGGGCAGGACTAAGAGCTTTCTGTTTGGGGGACCCCTGGGGACCTGCCACCACCAGCACACACACCACACCACACAGCAGACAGATGGATGGACTCCTCCGTGGGTTGGTGAGCATGCGATGGGGATGAGATGGTGTGTGAGGGAGTGGGCAGAGCTGACTGACAGGTGAGACATGGTCTTACCAGCTAACCCTCTGCAGAGAGGCCTGTTAGCTCCCCTCAGGCTGTGCAGGAGATGGCAAAGTCCTGACAAGTGTCCTCCTGGAGGAGATACCAGAGAGGTCGGCCTGTGTTAGCATCTGCTGTTCTGGCTACCTAGGAGGTTGGGTTGGGGCAGGGACAAGAAGCTCTAACTGGCCGCCAGGCAGTGGTGGCGCATGCCTTTAATCCCAGCACTCTGGAGGCAGAGCCAGGCGGATCTCTGTGAGTTTGTCAGCCTTGTCTACAGAGCAAGATCCAGGACAGGCACCAAAGCTACACAGAGAAACCCTGTCTCGGAAAAAAAAAAAAAAAAGAGACGCTCCAACTGGGACCTACTGTCTCCACATGTTTTTGGCTGAGCGATCACGGGATCAGGGTGGAAAGAGGTCAGCAGGAAAGAGCTCAGCAGGTACCAATCCCTGAGGCCCAAAAAGGTAGGACATGCTGAAGGCAGTCAGGTGGGTTAGCCCCAGCCCCTCTGCCACAGAGTGCCTCCAGTCGCCTGCCTGCCTGCCTGCCTCCCATTTCCCAGGGAAGACCCAAGTGTGTCTGAAAGAACCCAGAGCTAATAAGCTGCAAGCCAGGGACTCGGCAAAATAAAAGACAAAAAAAACCAAACCAAAGAAAAGCAGCTCTTAAAAAGACAAGTTTTATTACAAGCGGGAACAAAGAATACTGGCTTAAACAAAAGGCAGGTTAGGGAGCCCTCCTCAGCCCCTGTCTACCTCCCAGGGCCACTGCAGGATGGCCTAGGACTCTGAAGCTGTCTCTCCCAGCCACCACTTCCCCCTCTGTCCGGGACCCACCCACTGGCCTCAGGAACAAGGAATGGAAGTTAAGCGAGCTATGACCCAAGGGCTTCACCCACCTGAAGGGCCAAAGCGGGGCCTAGAAGAACAAGTCTCTATTTTGATTAGAAACTCCAGCTCCCAGCGGAAGGAGGATTTGCTATGAGCTCCTGGCCAACCCACATGCCTCCTGGCCTATTCTATTTCTTCCTTCATCTCTAATCAGCAGAAATGCATCGTCTCTTAGACCCTAGCACTGGGGCCCATACTCA